GGGGCCCCCCCCCTCCTATCAATTTTGTACATGGGTCTGACAGGAAGTGTCTTAACTTATCCTAACCTGTGGCCGCAGCGCTCGGCCTCCTAGCCGCAGGGCTCGGTCCAAAAATCGTATACTAGGACAGACCCCAATTATGGCCTATATTTTGTAATATGTTGCTTATGGTTAAATATTCAGGTTCCGTGGCTTCATGAGTATACTTTCAATTGGTATGCGTCCCCAGACCCTCTCTTATCCATCAAAACATAATAATGTAAGTATTTCGTTTAATTTAATTTGTACCATGACTTTTGTAGTCATTGAAATAATAATTTTAAAAGCTGTAATTGGTCCCTGATTTCTACATGACCACTGATTTTCTGCGCTAATTTCCTAATATACGATTTTTGGACCCCCCATGGATATAATTGACCATGTGGATGCACTCCCGGCCCCCTAGCCTGTCCTAGCCGCGGCGCTCGGCCCGCTAGCTGCAGCGCTCGACCCCATAGCTTGTAATAGCCGCAGCACTTGGCCCAGAAAGTGTCTTAACCTAACCTGACCCAAAATAAAAACTAATTTTTTTGAAAATTGTCCGCGGCTAGGACAGGCTATGGGGCCGGGCGCTGCGGCCTCATGATCAATTATATCCATGTGTCAAATATGAGATTTATGTACAAAATTGTAGGGGGGGGGGGGGCGTGGTGGCCCAAAAACAGTACACTAGGAAATCACTCAAATCTTTTTCCAAGTTATTTCCTATGATTTAAAAATTTTCTTGTTTGAAATCTCTCAGAATAAAATTGCATATTTTAAAATCTGCTAAGCTTCATATTTTTTTAACTTTCCTGAAAGTTTTGAGAAAGATATCATGATATTACAGAATCTTCAAATATTAATAAATTTTCCGTAAGTACAAAGTACATTGTTGAATATTGAATATATCTGCGTAGTAAATCTAATTAAAAAAACTCTCCTGTGTGTGGGGACTGGGGAGAGGTGTCAAATTACATTTATACACTGATGGATTAAACCTAGAATTTTAATACTATTTTCTTCCAATTGTAGATCTGGAATACTATATCCAGGACTTAAGAAGTCGAAAACAATCTTCTATATCATCAGGTAACCAAAACACCCCACCCCGGTTTAAATCAACATTTTTATTTTACCAACGTTCATAGATCTTAACATAAGATACTGTTAAAAAAAGAACTTGCATAATTTCAAGTGACCCTGCATTAAATGTCCGATTCGCAAAAGTATCCTTTAGCTCGTCAATAATATAGAAGATGTCGTCTAAATAGCTTTGAATGGTGTCTAATTCTGGGAATGTCCCCAATTGTTTCGGAAATCTGTAAGTTAAGTAACAGGAAGGCATTTATTGAAAATAATCTAATCTTCAAATGTTCAATGTTAAAATGATTTATTTCCATTTCTCATTTAATCTTTATTTCATTGTTTTAGGGTACCGTCGTAAATCGGGCATGACATTTAAACGGAGAAGCACTTGAAATTACGTTTACAGACCATTTAAATTCTTTGTGTTTTTTTCTAGATCAGTGAGACGAGGGGCGGGGCCAGTTGCCCTGATACAACCCTACTCTCATGAAGGCATTTAAAACATTATTTTATTTATTATTGTTTAATAAACTAGAAAAACTAGATTCAAATCTCCTTAGAGGGATCAGAACATACGTCTATTTAACGATTTAAAAATAATGTCTTTTTAAAGATTTAAAATCATCCGCTCAGGCGGGCACAACAGGGGTGCAGAAGGAGACACTGTACTTTTGGTAAGATCTTTTTACCTCCTCCCTCATCAACCAGGTTTCTTTTAATTTCGCAAACATGTTATTCCCCTTTTTACAAAGTAGAAATATGGGGTTTCCGTTCGTTTTCAAGTAAGTCCAATGGAGTTGAATCAAATTGTAAATCCTCTTTACTTAACATTCATCTTTATAAAGGTTGACCCCCCCCCCCTTCCCCCAACTTACACTCATTTTTAACCCAATTTTGTTCATTTTAATTGTTAACGTTATAACAATTAAATAGGGATTTAATATACCCGTATTCCAGGGTAGAATTACACAATCTTGATCAATCTGATTCCTCGATAATATTTACCTCCTCGAGTTAGACAGTCAGTAGACCGTTTTATTGTTATTGTTTAGAGGCAAGGGATTCAGACTTTCTGCGCCCTTGTCAGGGGTTGAGAAAGCTAGAGAAGAAACATGGCGAACTCGTACCAGGGACCTGGACCTTATTCAGGTATAAACCATGGTGGGGATCCTTCTTGATTCAAGAATACGTTTAGTTGGTTTAGGTAACACAGGCAATCTAATATAATCTTATGGTGGTTAGGGGGTTTTGAGTCTAACTTATATATGATATGTTCAACGTTCAGCCAATAGTGATATAAAGACATGTATTTTCCTTCTCAAAAATTATTTTAAGATTCTTGTGCTCAACTAAACTTTTTGTTTGGGGGGGGGGAGGATTACAGAAGTTGTACTCTGACAAAATCCGCTAATTTTAGTTTGATCCGCATATATTTATATTTTTAAACGCTAAAATAAGAAATTTGCAATGTTTTTGCATTGGTTTGTTTAAGTTTTGATAGTTAAAACAGAGTATTTGTNATTCGAATATTCTAATCCCATGGCCAGAGCGTGTAAGAATGTATATTCTTACACGCTCCGAGCATTAAAGAATGGAAATTATTACACTTGTTGAAGAATATTCATTCTTACACGCTCCTTATATTGATCTTTTCAGTATAAGGAATCATAAGGATCAATATTGATATTAACTTAATTATTTTGTACTGACAACATGCACAGGGCAAACTCACCTTTTTCTTTTACATTAACACATGCAAACTTACCTTTTTTAACTTAAAAACAACATGCTCACTTACCTTTTTCTTTAATATTAAAACATGCTCACTTACCTTTTTTAGTTTAGTGAAACATGCTCACTTACCTTTTCATGCTCACTTACCTTTTTCGTTTTTTGAAGTATTGATATACCTTAATTCAGAAATATCAATTTGAATCTGAACCCTAGTCCTGACAGAAGAGTGGAAATTACATTTTCTGACCATTCCCAAAAATATGAACGACGCTTTTAGCCTTACATTAGACACTTTCATCAAACTGCCGAGTCTCAAAGCATACTGCCCGACTGCCTACTTTATTAATTTTTTTTAGTTCATCTTCATTTCAAACCAAGTTTGGTGAGATTTTGCAAATCTCTGCATACTTGTAATAGTATGGACAGAGCTTTTCAGTCTGAGTCACCATATCTCGCATAGTTCGAGATGATGAAGTGAAACCACAATCAAAACCAAAAAAAAGTATAAAAACTTATCATTGAAATATTAGTGTCACACTTTTAATGGAGTCTTAGCACTCCATAGCAATGAAAACAAACCATTAAATCTTGCTTCATGAATAAAAGACAAAGATCTTCATCAGTTTATGTCGAACCGATTCTTACTAGATAACCGGCTTTTATCTCCTCTTTTTGGAAGATTTAGGATCTAATATCCAGAAAATGATTTCTTCTATAAATGAAGACACGATATTGTTCAGTAGATTAAGACAACCCACTACTATACCTTCTCCCCATATAAAAAAAACTCTAAATCTAAATGTAGTATCAACTTGAAAAACGAGCAAAATCATTAGAAATTGGTTAAAAAAACTAAACTAAGGAAAAAATCACACCGCATGCATTGCTTTCAAATTAAGAACCAATTTTTACTTCTAAAATGTTTTAGAAAAATAAAAAAACAGTGTTAGTCAGAACAATAGCATACAACTTATTTGCAACCTTTCATAATGTGAACTGTTCCAACTGCGGCCTTCGTTAAAGAATGCATCAAGATTATTTCATCTCGTTTAAGAATTTCCATTATTACATTTTTTTCCTCATAAGATTATCATATTAGATCTTGTTTGACCTATAAAACCTGTTTGTCAAATGTCCATGTTAACTAGAGCTAAATAAGACGGTACAAATTTACCAATTCACAATAAAGTGTTTAAATGGATCCTGGGACTGATAATTACTGAATCTGAGCTATGTCACTGACCTACTGTCGCGGTCCGTACAAAATTGAACCGATTCAGTCAGAAATCAATTGAATCGATGATATTGAACCTGTGTCAGGTAGATCAGCGACCCCTCCAGGGTCTCATCTAGGAAATTTGTGGCTGGTTAAGTCCTTCCCTTATGTGGCAGATTTCCAATTTTTGGCTATTTTTACAATTTTTACTAATTTGGTATCAAACCTAGAATTCGAATGAATTGAGTTTGTTGCTCCATTAAAATTTGTGTTTTTTGCGGCTTTTACTTTTATTAGTGTAGCATTTTTCATAGCTTAGATTAGGGTTTTCTCAGCGAACGAAAACTTTACAACTTTAGTTGCGAGACTCATCTTTTGCCCCCCCCCCCCCCTTCATTTTCAGAATCATATTTTTCCCAAAATCCGCTACCTAAAAACAGGTTTATTTGACAGGTTTCTGAAAAATTTTGGATTTCAATAGTATAATGGAGCTCTTCCCCTTTTTCCTTTCCCTTCCTCCCCCTTTTCCCTTCCCCTTCCTTCTTGCCCCTATTCCATTCCCCTTTCTCTTCCCCCTTTTTTAATCTTCATTATTTCAATAAACCCAATGAAAGCTTAATTTTTGCCCCCCCCCCCCCTCTTCCGGGGGGTGGTGGGTCAAACAGAAAAATATACACCCCTGTGCAAAAAAGATGCAAAGTTTCGCGAAAATCTTGTAGAATTCTCATCTCATCTGTTAAGATGACATGTGTGGCTTTTATTTAGGCTTTAAAATGTCTTTTTTTTAATGGCATATTTTTCATATTTTTGACCCTGTTTTTGGGTAATCTTGGCTTAATGTGTACAATGTGCACTCAAATTGATCCTCGATGAAACCTTGGACCCCTCAATATCCTTGTCCTGTCCCTGAACTAGTTAATATCCAGGTGGTATGCCGAGTATGCCTCGGTTCCCTCCCAGCTTTACACCTAGAGGGCAGCATCCTCCTCCCAATACAAACCAGATGCCTAGACAAGCAGTGTACAGCGGACAGGTATATCAAACTTTCAATTATCTAAGCAGGAGGTTTTTTCGTGGATTTCCCCTTTTATAAAATGTTCTCCAAGTAAGTAAGGAATATTTTTAAATCTTGCAAAAAAAATTTGTATTGATTTGTCTTGAGATAAAACATTGCTAGTTAATGTCCTAGTTTTCATCTATCAAAGATACGACATAAGGTTGCAAAAATAGAAGGATTATGTTATACTTAGTGTGTGAAGTGCTCAATTCCTTTTAACTACTTAATTTCTGTTAACTTTTAGATTTAATGTTATGAATAGTTTTTGACATTTAGCTTCAATTTCCCGAAATCAAACTATTTGACATTTGAACAATTGTTGCATTTACTTCGTTTGATTGTATAAAAGAGGTTGGGGAGGGGGGGGGGGGGTATTTTTAAATCCTTACAATCTAATTTTTTTAAGTAATCTAAATGCAAGAAGTTAGAAAATGATTCTGTAAAATCGATTTGTTTACACTTACCTCCTTAGTAAGCCATACAAAATGCCATGTTAAAAATAAACAAATATCGAAAATTAATCATATCTAGATGAATCAGTCCCAACCTGGACACCAGGCTCCTCTATACCACGTGAATGCCCATCCCAGCATGCAAATGCTTTATCATCATCACCCTCACATGCAGGTCCCTGTCTACTATCAGGTACTAAATCTTGCAAATGATTCAGGACTATTTCAGGGGTGTAAATTTTCTTCTTTCTTTTTAGTTAATAAGGTCTGTTCTCCTTTTGGACACAGTCCCTTAACGTCCGATGGCGGTCTGGGGTTTCACATTTGGAATAATTTTTTACATCAAGTCTTTTTAAAGTCGACACTTGAAATTTGTACGTTTCTGAGAGCAACATTTTTTGGTGTTTTTTTTTAAAAATATTTTGCTACTTGGATCCGCATACGAAGAGCAGCTTATTTTAGAGGATCCAAAATTTTATTGATCCGTATCCATCCACTTACTTGTTAGTGATTATTTATGACTACAGAAAAACATTCATTGATTAGTAGACCTAAAATGTTATTATTATTATAATCATTATTTTATAAATAATATTTAAATTTCAAGACGAATGGAGGCCGTCACCAGGCCCCTATCCAGCAGCAGCAGCAGTATCCCCAGCAGCCAGGATATCCATATCCTCCTGTATCCATGCAGCAAACAAACCAACCTCCACAGAGTGTTTATCAATATCCATCTAATATGCAAGGTAAAATATTAAGCTTTGATTGTCTCAAAATATTCCACAGTTTAATTAATTGAACCTTCTAAACAGTATTAATTTATCTGTTACAAAATTTTTTTTATTTAGGGCAATGGAGCGGGTAGGGGGAGGGTTATAATTATTAATAAATTAGAAAAATCAGCAAGTGCGCTGAAACAGGACACTTATCTATTTTCGTTAGAAATAAAAAGTGGGAATATTGTGATGATCTCAAAGGTAATATTTGACAAATATAACCTTGACGTCACTGCTTGATTTTATTTTTAAAAACTCGTCTCAAGTTGAAAACAAGTAAGATTTGGCAATAAATTCCCTCCAGGAATTCCTACCCTTATTTTTAATATTTGTTTCTGTTTACAATTAAATCAGTTCCGGGTTGTTTACACGAATCAAAGTTGAACATTTTTTTTATTTGTTAACAATCTTGTATTTAGTTCCTGGAGTTGCTCCTGTTCGATATCCTGGTCACATGATGCCTCAGCAGGTAGGGTTTTACAATACTCAAACTTTGGATTGTCATGACAAGTGGGATTTTTTAAGAATACGCCCCCCCTCTCCATTTTTTCAAGAGTTTACCTCCACCTTAAAGGGAGTGTTCGTGAAAAATGAAAGGGGGTATAGGCTTAATGCAATAAAAAAGCGCTTTTGATCGCTAATAATCTTACTTCTATCTGTTGCGTCTATAAGGAGAAAATTGTTAAAGACGTCACATACCGAATAACTTAGCGGCCATACAAATTCAGAAAATTGCAACATACGACTTAGACCGTAAAATATCAATTTAGTTTCAAACATATCATTTATAGATATTACAACCTATAGTCATCGATTATCTTTCGCCACATTTGTATATAGTTTATATTTTATTTTTTAGAAAACGTTATTTTAACGGATTTCGAAAATTGGTAGAGCCTGCGTAGCCAAAACACTTTTATTATCTAAATTATCACATTTAGCTTCTGTTATACCCACAGTTAATAAAAATAAGCTTAAAGAAATTGAGAATCTTATATATAATTTTATATGGCAAGGAAAAGAAAAAGTTGCGAGACAAGACTCTAAACAATCTGAGAACAGGGGATGATTAAACTTTCCTGATATCCTTTCTAGTTGGAACGCATTTAAATTTTCATGGTTTAGGAGACTTGCGAAAAGCGAATCCTCCTTGAAACATATTTTTGAGCATAATTTAATCACTTCAGTAAACTATTCACTCGATACATTCTTCACAGCTCTTGGCACGATAGATTACTGTAGATTAGAAAAAATAAATCCTAATACATTCTGGAAAGGCTGTTTACACTTCTCTTGCTGGAGCATTTACGAATGCATCCTGACAATATCATTATTTATCCTATATGGGGCTCTAGTGTATTATTCATGCTGAATTCTGTGGAATGTAAAAGGAATATGTTTGGTACAATAGGAAATATTATAAACTGTCCTTTAGATTTTATCAAATTTGAAGATAACAGCACTGTCTTTCTATCAGAAATAGAGTTAGGAGCTAAGTTTGGGGTTGAAGTAGACACAAATTCATATATTTCCTTGAAACACGTTGTCCGCGTCGGAGTTGAAAAGATGAATTTATCACTCGATAGAATAAATATAGTATCACCATATCAGCCTCCACTTGTCCGCTTAATAAACTATTCTGTGCAGGGCTGTAATAAATGGGTGAAACTTTTTAAGCGTCTTGAATTTTCAAATAAAAATCTACAGATTAGAGAAAGGAAATGGGAAAACGAGTTAAGAGCACTGCAGGGAATTGATTTTTGGGAAAAAACATATAAACAGACTAGAGATATTTTCTTTGATAATAAATTAAAATGGATGCAATTTCAAATAGTTAGGGGCACTTTAAAAACAAATAAAATTGTCTCAAAATTTATACAAGGTATCAATGCTAACTGTACGTTCTGTGAAAACTATATTGAAAACATTTTACATCTTTTCTGGGAATGCGAAAAAGTTTCGACATTTCTGGTATCCATTTACAATTATTTTGTTACTAGATGGGATTCCATTTCCCCTATACCGAACAGGAAGGACTTCATTTTTGGTATTAAAACAAAGAATATGTACTCACCTGAGAACCTTCTAATCCTTTATGTCAAATATTATATATGGGTTACAAGATGTAGAAGAGTGAATCTTGACATTAATGGTTTCTTTAACTGGTTTAAATTTGAACTAAAAATCAATCATATGTCCTACTTAAATGATCCTAGATTTACTTATCTTAACGATAACAATTACAGAATGGAACAATTATTAGATCTCTAGATTCGAAATGAAGAATTTTATTTATAGCATTTACTGAATATTCAACATTACTATTTCATTTTATCATTAACTTACTTCAATGGAATGAATGAATATATTATGTATGCTTACATAAATAAACTGTTCTCTAGAAAATTGTGAGTGGTGCGCGGCATTCTTAGATAGTTGCGCAAGCGACAAGAGAAATAAACAAATTAATTAAAAATATTATTAAATATAAACTATATACAAATGTGGCGAAAGATAATCGATGACTATAGGTTGTAACATGTAAATGATTTGTTTGAAATTAAATTGATTTTTTACGGTCTAAGTCGTATGTTGCATCTTTCAGAATTTGTATGGCCGCTAAGTTATTCGGTATGAGACGTCTTTAACAATTTTCTCCTTATAGACGCAACAGATAGAAGTAAGATTACTAGCGATCAAAAGCGCTTTTTTATCGCATTAAGCCTATACCCCCTTTCATTTTTCGCGAACACTCCCTTTAATACTTACCTAAAAATTTATTCATGTTTAAAAATCATATTTTTATTAATTTACAAAATTAATTGGAAGAAGATAGTTGGCGAAAAAAAGTTTTCGGGACATAATTTGACTTCTGTCATCCTTTCGCCATTGGCAATTTAATAGGGTGGTATTGTGGTAACAAGAAGACTAAATTCACTGTCATTTTTAAATAATTTAAAAAATTTGAAAATTTTACGTTTAAGTTTTTATAATTGGAGAGAGAGGCGTGATGTAAGATGGATTTTGAACTTTTTAAAACGGAATGGACTCTGCTACCAGCACACTCTCAGCAGCCGGGTATACCCAACCATGTGCAGCCGGGGAGTTTGCCGGCTCATCTATCCGGGGGACCTCCTAAACCTAATCATCAGTTCCAACCACAGGTAGGACTACATTGTACACTGTATGTACGGTATGCCGCACAGTGTGTTGTATGATCAGTGGATAATTCTTAATTTAAAAGCAATTAATACTCGTATCTTTTTAATCTAGCTAAAAATCTATATTTTTACTTTCCATTTACTGCTGAAAACCCGCGAAGAGTTTAAATCTGAACCAATCTTAAACCCTGATATGTTGTTTAGGGTGGTATACCTAGTGGACCTCCTCCCTCTTCTACTCCACCAACTCTTCAGCCTCAATCCCTTCCTTCACAGCCTCCTATTCAGCCTCAGCAACAGATAGTTGCTGCACAACTCATTCCTCAACCTAAACCAAGGTAATAACATGTAACGGAGGCTATGTAACCTCCCATATGCAGGATGTACTAGTGGAATACGGTGAGAACCAAAAAATTGTTTAATAATTTATAATTTACTATAAAAATCCATTTTTTTCTAGTACTTAATACTTTTGGCAAAAACGACAATTTTTAGAGGCAGGGGGGGGGGGATATAATTTTAGTCATAAAATCACCTAAACTAAAGTTAATTTGTTTTAAACTGTTCAACTTCTTGGGTATAATTTTATTTTAGCTTAGGCTTAATTATATGAAGTAAATAATATATTTAAAATTATTATTATTATTTTTCAATCTTGCATATTTAAAAAATATTTTTCGCAAATTCTAACTTCTGTTTAATATGATCAGAGAGAAGAGAGGGTTAGATATTATAAACCCTGATACTGGGAAGAGCATATTTGCTGATGCTAAGAAGGAATCTACTCCACAACCTACTCCACTAGCACCAGCTGAGGTAACAGCAAATCAAAACTATTGTTATGTGAATCTCCGGATCAAGAATAGATCACTCCAACTTAAGCAAATGGGTTTAACTTAATTTCCTATTGATATCCCTTGGTGGTTTTTACCCTGCAAGGATAAATTTGATCTTCAAGCTTAAAAGTGTCACAGTATAAGATATCACTTTTCAGTGTGGGTGTAAAGGGAGGATTTGGAAGATTTTTGTCATTGTTCTTAAATTTTATTTTGTTGATGAAAGATGTATTCATTGTGTTAACAATATTGAGGGTAGATTAAGCCATAAATATTTTAAACCGACAGGCTAAAAATGCTTATTTTTTGTAACTCGTTTTTAATTTAGGTTGCTCCTGTGGAAGAACCTGTGATAAAGAATGCTTCTAGTGGATTTGCTGCTCAGTTTGCAGCGCAGGTAGCTGCCGTAGCAGACGTAAAGCAGGGTAAGCAGCCGGTTGTAGATACTAAACCTGACGCTGTTCCTGGAAATAAAGCAGCGGACACCCCCATACAGGTATTTTTTGTCACTCGGATGGTTTTGACAGTTCTAGCAGCTCATTTAATGATTTTCCGCCCTGCTCCAGGGGATTTTGAAAAATGGGGCGATAAGTTTCGATTTCCAAGACTGTTCCGAAAAATCTTTGTTTTATAATCCCTCTTATCTAGAACAAAGAGATGTTGAGTGTTGTCGCTGAAACTAAAAGAGAAGAAAGTCTCTACGAGCCTGTGAGCCCTACACCTCTACCCGACAGCCCCGTGGAAGAGGTTAAACCTAGTCCGGCCTCTGAGGACAAACCTGGATCTCCTGTTCCCGCCGATGACGGTTTTATCGAGGCCAGGAGCAGGAAGAAGAAGTCTGCTGCTACTAAAAAAGCTGAGTTGAACAGGAAGGGAATGGAGAAGGAGCAGAATAAGGATCTATTGGAAGTATTTATGGACGGATCTGCGCCAACAAAGAAAACTACTGCAGAGGAACCCGCCGCCAAACTGCCTACCCCGCCCAAGGAGCAGGATTCCGAGCCAGTGAAGCCCAAGGAGCCCGAATTTAAGGAACCAACTCCGCCCAAGGCTGAACCTCTCAAAGTCACCGTAAACGAGTTTGTTCCCCGAAACTTCGTGGCGGAGAAAACTCCAGAACCGGTTCCCGCCGAGGTAGTGGTTCCTGAGCCCGAGATTAAAACTAATGGTATAGATGCTGTTACTGCTGGAAACCATGCTGAGGAGGAAGACGTGGAGGAGGTTGAAGAGGGAGAGATTGTGAGTGATACTGAAGAAGAGATGGAGGGGAAAACTAAGTTGAAATATGAATACAAGGTACTTATTAGCATAATTTTCTCGTTTGCAAAAATCGAGCTTAAAAATGTGAGCCAATTCTCAAATTATAAAAATTTATTTAAGCACTTTACCAATTTCGTATGCGGGGGTAAAAAATAATGAAAACAGAAGGTTGGGGAAAAGTTAGAAATTATTTTAACAAAAACTGGGTCGCCTGAAAATGTTACAGATCATATTTTTTTATGTTGCTAGGATGATCAATGGTCCCCACTGAACCCCGAGGGTAAGAAACAGTATGATCGAGAGTTCCTGATCAAACTTCAGTACGAAGAATTATCCATGACGAAACCTTTAACTCTCCCCAACATGGAGATTGTCAAAGATAAACCCACTTCAAGATCTTCAAGTATGAGATCCTTTGATTTTGCTCCACATTTTGTGATATCCAACTCAAGTAGACAAGGACCAAATAAGAGGTAATTATTATCGTTTTAAATGTGCGAGTTAAGGTTTTTGATCTACTTGCATATACAGTAATGATCTTTAACCACAGCTGCCAAATAAAAAAAACTTTTGCTCATTTTAAACTATGATTTTTACTTGTCAAATCCTAATTTTACAAAAACAGATAATCTTCACTAGGGGGTCAACTTAATCATTTAAATTAATATTTTTTAGCTCAAATTTTATAACTATAACAACCCTATTAGTTTTTAATAGGTTTTAGCTTAATTCAATCAATATAAACCTTAATGTTTTAGGTTGAGCAAAAGCAAAGACGCCCCAAAGCCCTCCGTCCGTGTGATTTCTATCCCGAGCTTTAGTCAGGATGTTCAGTTGCATAAGGCAGAGAATGCTTGGACCCCCGGGATTGCGGCTAAAAAGGCCGGAATAGAAATTTCCGAGGATGAAACAGCCGACCTAGCCAAGAAGGTCAGAGCAATCCTTAACAAACTCACCCCGCAGAAGTTTGAAGTCCTAGTTCAGAAGTTTAAAGAGCTTCCAATTGATTCCGAGGCCAAACTTAAGATTTGCATGGAGTTGATATTTGAGAAGGCTGTGGATGAACCTTCCTTCAGTGTTGCATACGCTCAAATGTGTCAATCCCTCATGAAGAAGTCGATTATTGTAAAAGAAGGTACGGAGCAGAAGGAATTGTCTTTCAAGAAGCTTCTGATCACCCGTGTTCAGCAGGAGTTCGTCAAGGACTACATGGACGATGTGGACAGAGTAGGACACGAGGCCAAGATGGAGGATCCTAATCTATCAGAAGAGGAAAAGAAGCTTGCTAGAGATACTTTCATGGCACTTGAAATGAAAGCTAGACGGAGATCCTTGGGTAATATTAGATTTATAGGAGAATTATACAAACTAGAGATGTTAACCTGCAAGATTATGCACGAGTGTGTATTTAAACTTCTTAAGACAACAGACGACGAATCTATTGAGTGTTTGTGTCGGTTGATAACTACAGTAGGCCAGGTTCTGGAGAAGGAAACAGTTCAGAAGATGTCGACGACACCTAAGGAGAGGATCGCTAGTATGGGTATCCGAGATATCGCATTCTACTTCACGGAGATGAAGAAAATTATCGCAGAGAAAGTGATCAGCGCCAGGGTGAGATTTCTGATGCAGGACGTCGTGGACCTCCGTGCTAATAACTGGCAGAAGAGGAGGGAGGATGCCGGCCCTAAAACCATAGAAGAGATCCATGCACAAGCTAAGAAGGAGCAGTTGAGTGAGAAACTTAATATGTATAACACAGGTCCTCCCCCATCCATGCCGAGACGAGATGATCCTCGTAAACGATCTCAGAAGAGTTCCATAAGCAACCAGGAGGAGGGAGGATGGCAGGTCCCCACCAGGGCCGCCAAGAACACCTTGGACAAATTTGATAGCTCCAGGGTGAGAAACATGGTTAACCATAAAGTAGACATTGACACTGTTCAGCTCGGTCCTTCAATTGGTAGAGGAGGAGGTGGGTTCGGAACCTGGGGTAAGGGATCTGCAGGACCCAAGAGCAGTAGACATGAGGACACTACAATGCAGAATAATAGGTTTGCAAGTCTCTCCAGTGATTCCAACCCCGCTTACGAGGGAAGAACTAGCGGAGGTTACTCTTCCAGCCGACCTGGATCTAGACCAGGTTCCTATGTTGGTCGTGGGAGTCGAGGTCAGTCAGTGGATAATGACAAGGCCACATTGTTGCAGGCTGTGAAGGAAATGAATCCTGGTGGCGGGAGATCTACGAGTACGATCTTACCCCGGGATTCAGAGCGTGGATCTGTTGTTACTAAATCTGCCAGTATGATGGCTCCTCCAGTTTCCTCTTCATCTGAAAGCCTTCTGCGTGGTAAATCAACGGAGTCCAGAGAAAACCTGGACAAAATATCTAAGGGCCTTTTAGAAGAGTTTCTCAGCGTCTGTGATTATAACGAAGCTGGTCAGTGCTTGATCGAGAAGTTTCATCCTGACACTATTAGTATGTTTGTCGAAGCTGCATTAAATGAAGTGATCGATTCTTCTGAAAAGAATCGCAGGAACGCTGGTAGTCTGTTATCGAACTTAGTGAAGAAAAACATTTTAAAATCTGAAAGTCTAATGTTCGGGCTTTCTAAATTCTTGGAATTTGCCCCCGACATATTAGTTGATGTTCCTAAACTCTGGGATTTCCTAGCATCTGTTCTATCAACCTCCCTACTAGACGAGACATTAACTCTAACGCTGCTAGAGAAAAGCAATGAGGCTCTGAGAGCAATTGATCCTGCTTGCTGCGGCAAGTATATGGGAGCAGTATTTAGAGAGCTTGGTAAACAGAACGAGGAGAGAGCTAGTCTTCTGTGGGCTAATTCTGGTCTATCCTGGTCAACCATTCTGGAACCAGAATCAGATATTGCAGAATTCGTCAAGTAAGATTTAAATACCTTTTTTAATATTGAGTATTTTTAGGAAGGAATGGAAATAGATTTTAATTTCTCCGGCATTATTTAGTTTGAGTTATTTGTTTTGTTAATTCAGACATGTATATTTACAAGGCCCTCTTTAAAAAAAAAATCGTAATTTTAGGAATGCGCAAAACAAATGTTAGGTTTTATTACTGAAATAGGGAAAATGAGATTTCTTATAGTAGAAAATAAATTAATACAAGATTCAACTTTTTAATTTCGGTTTGTTGTTTCAGGGCTAATGGTGTCGGGTTCACAGTCACAGCTGGTTCAGGATCCGGTGCTAAGAAAGGATTTAATTCTGAATCCTTCAAAACCGGTCTCTCCGAGAAGCTCGGATCTGGAGAGAATCGAAGCGGAGTCGTTGAGTATATAAACGCTCGTGTTAGTCAGGAGGAACAGGCAGACCCCATGTTTATACGGACACTGTTAACGGTCGTCGTTGAGTCCTCTCTAGACGGTCTCGGCGGTCCTATTAGTGATATCAAGTTAAAGGAAGAGGTTTTCCAGTCTCACTGCACAGATATACTACATAAGCTTGTGAGTGGACCCGAAGCAGAACTAGAGGCTTTATTCGCTCTGCAGCACCTTATGCATAGGTTAGATATGTTTTTTAACTGATATTTTTATTTACGAAATTCTACAGTTTTTAGCTGATAGTTGCGATTGGGATCTTAAATCTTAAATAAAAATTTAGAGGCACATTTATTTTGGTTGAAAAGCTAAAAATTTCGACATTATTTTTTACTATTTATTTGCCATGTTGTTTCTATCGAAGGTAATTTTGATTTTAATTGACGGTTTATTTACTCTAGGTTGGAGCATCCTAACCGTGTATTGACCCAACTGTTTGAGAAGCTGGAGCAGCAGGATGTTATCCGTCCTGAATCCTTCTTGCAGTGGAAGCAGAACGAAGACTCAGCCAACCTGCCGGGGAAAGGAGTTTGTGTCAACTCCACAACACAGTTCTTCGTCTGGTTGCAGGAGAACACGGAGGAGGAGGAGGAGAATGAGGAATAAATCCAACATTTCATATTTTAATATTTGTAGTTTAATTTTACAAAAACTACAGCTAGAGACATTAGCAGAGAGGATTAACTCGCTCTGGATTAAACATATTAAATCTACTCCTGGTATAATGAAAAATATCCTAGTCCTACACTAAGGATTACAATTGAAATTAAATCCTCTAAAAATGAGGGGAGGGGGGGGTCGTACTGTTCTTTTTTGTTCAAGGATAAAAATGGGATCTAAAAGTTGGCATAGTTTCTTCAGTCATGAGCAACCAGGGGGATTAAGTTGTTTTTGTTAATGTATATATTCTCCTATGTTCAGCATTGTAGATCACACTAAAGGTTGATAATCCAGTTTAATCAACATTGCAAGTTATTAGTAACACTTATGTGATTTTATACGACTACGTGCTAAAATAAAATTTTATTATTTATTGTATCTTTCAACAACTAGGGAAATGTATCTTTTTTACATCTTTTTAGACTTATTTAGGCGTATGGTTTTATCGAAGAAAAAAGTTAATGTGAGATTTCATTCTTTTTAAATTCTTTATAATAATACATAATTAACATTATGAATAAGTGAATGTAATAATTTTAAGAGAAGTGAATTTTATTGATGTTATTTCTGGTGTTGTAATGAACGTTACCAGCCTGCAGAATCCAGGATCAGTGAAAAAGTAAATTTACAATCGTGTAATTAGTGCTTATTTAAGAACAGGATCCGTTGAAATATTTTGTCTTCCTTAATCCGGATCCACGGATCCAGAAAAATAAACCAAAAACTCGAGAAAAACTTTCTACTCGTAAAATCCCAATCTCAACTTGTGAAGAAAGATTATTTTTACTTTTCTTCTCTCTGACCGGCTCATCGTGTTTTAGGTTAAAAATAAGCTATAAAATTAATACAAATGATCAAAAAATTCGTTCGTTAAAAAATTAGTAAATCTTTCAAAGGGAAATGTTCATGGATAAATGTTGCATCGTCTATACGCAACATCCCCCCTTACACTGAACTTCTGACCTACTGCAATATCGGACCTACGCCAGCTGTTTATTTTTGTATTATTTGAGGGTTTGGTTAGGTTAAGACAATTTCTGGGCCGAGCACTGCGGCTAGGACAGTTTAGGGGGCCGAGCGGTGCGGCCATAAGTTCATATAGCAGCTGTAAAACCACGTTTATTAGGTTGGATGTGTAGTATAGCGGATTTGGCGTAGGTCTGAAGTGGAGTATAGCGGATTTGTGCAGGTCGAAAAATACACCACTCTTTCAAAGTAATGTTCACTAATTTGGTTCCGTATCCAGTTTTTTCAGGGCTGATCCAGGATCCCCATTAAAATGCAATGGATCCTCAGCATTGTTAGTAAGTTACGAACTATGAATTGCTGTTAACTGTCAAAATATAGGTGTGATTAAAGGTAGCAATAACTTCTGAACAATGGAACAGTAAGACGACAATATATACTGAAGTGTTTTTGTACAAAGCAAACAGTTTTATTAGCCGCTTTTTCACACTTCATAATTATGCAGAATTTTTGGTTTTTTAAAAAGTGTCCAGGGTGTTGAAATAAATTGATAGATAAGGAAACTAAGCGGATATAGAATCAAATATAAGCTTACTTATAAAGGGCACATTAGATCATAAGTATTTGATACTAAAAAAAATATAAACAACTCGTTATTGTAGAAAACATGCCAAGACGAGATGATCCTTGCAAACGATCTCAGAAGAGTTCCTCGAGCTACCAGGAGGAGGGAGGATACCAGGGCCGCCAAGAACACCTTGGACAAGTTTGATACCACCAGGGTGAGAAACATGGCTAACCATAAAGTTGATATTGACAGTTTCCAGCTTGGTCCTGCAACTGGTAGAGGAGGATGTGGGTTCGGAACCTTGGGTAAAGGATTTAACACTGGTCCTCCCCCATTCATGCCGAGACGAGATGATCCTCGCAAACGATCTCAGAAGAGTTCCACAAGCAACCAGGAGGAGGGAGGATGGCAGGTCCCCACCAGGATGAGAAACATGGTTAACCATAAAGTAGACATTGACACTGTTCAGCTCGGTCCTTCAATTGGTAGAGGAGGAGGTGGGTTCGGAACCTGGGGTAAGGGATCTGCAGGACCCAAGAGCAGTAGACATGAGGACAATACAATGCAGAAGAATAGGTTTGCAAGTCTCTCCAGTGATTCCAACCCCGCTTACGAGGGTAGAACTAGCGGAGGTTACTCTTCCAGCCGGTCTGGATCTAGACCAGGTTCCTATGTTGGTCGTGGGAGTCGAGGTCAGTCAGTGGATAATGACAAGGCCACATTGTTGCAGGCTGTGAAGGAAATGAATCCTGGTGGCGGGAGATCTACGAGTACGATCTTACTCCGGGATTCAGAGCGTGGATCTGTTGTTACTGAATCTGCCAGTATGATGGCTCCTCTAGTTTCCTCTTCATCTGAAAGCCTTCTGCGTGGTAAATCAACGGAGTCCGGAGGAAACCTTTAAAAATTATCTTAGCCAGGCTTAAAATACAACTGTTTCATTAGATCTTCAGTATTTGACAATATAATTATAAAGAATAATAAACAAAACTCGATTTGTAGAAAACAATCTTTTTCCCAAAAATTTGTCGGTTAAGTGGAAGTTTTATCCTAAATACTTGACATCTCGTCCTGGTCCTCCTTACTCTGGTTGGGTTCGGAGATAAGGATGGTTGCGATGATACCTAGAGCTCCGAATACACCTCCGAGCAGGAGAAACATGTTCGGAATATTCTCCAGAACTTCAGGATCAGTGAAGTATTTGTCGCATTTGCTCTAATAAATATGATTGATCATTGGTTTGGGAGGTCGGATTGGATTTTATTAAAATCTAAATATTTATTATGGTTTATAAAATTCAAATTACAATTCAAACAATGCATATAAATCACATAACATTGGTTTAGCTGATAATTTTACTCATAGCCGTAGCTTGCCAGACAATGGACGTTATTTTTAGATTGCTAATGTATGAGTCGACAGGTATATCTAGCTGGATTCATCCTTTTGGAGCAAACAAGTGAAAAATTCAGCAATTTTTCCTTTTTTGTTGGACACAGAAAACATTGACATTGACATTACCCTAATATTGGATGGGATAAACGTGGGGGGGGGAAGGGTTGATTTAGGATTGGGTTCTTGTTTTGTATTGTCAAAGGGTATGCTTGCAAGAGTAAGGAAGAGGATTTGATCAAAATATGAGATTTTGTAAAACTTGGTATAATTATTTCAACTTCTTTAGAAAGTTTGAAAATTGTCCACGAGTTCCTTACCTCTTGGGTTCCATTGAATGTACATTTCTCATCCACTGTTGCCTTGATATTATCCGGGTTGACAAAACTAGTCTGGACCGGGATCCAGATAAGAGATCCGAACCCATACCCTGACAAAACCAGACATGCTCACCAAACCCTAGAATTATAATAATCAGAACAATCCCTTTAAAAAAATATTTATATACAGTGAAACCCTTAATAACGAATACATCGAAAGAATTCATCAAATGTCGTATTCTTCACTAATTCTGATAATGGAATGTTGCAGATATTTAGTTTTTTAATTAAATGATTATATGGAACTCTTTAAAACTGTTCCCGCATATTCATGGATATTTATTTATTTTCGCAAATACTGAAATTTATGAAATATAGTATATAACTCATTGAAAAATTGTCAAGACGACATTTGATAAATTCTTCCGATGTATTCGTTATTAAGGGTTTCACTGTACATATATTCATGATTTAGAAAAAAATGGAGTTAAGTTTTAAACTTATTATTTTTTATTTATAGAGTTTTTTCTAATCCATATATCTTAGCAACCTTCGTGGTGTAAACCTTCTATTTTTCTAAATTAAATTATCTAATCTAACCGAATTTTTAATCTGATATATCTCAGGTCTACGACATTGGGGTGCACAGATACAGGGATTCGAAAATAAGCGTTCGTGATAAAGAATAATTGGTTTTACAGGTATTTAAAAACTGTTTTGGTACCGTCTAGTTGTTAATGTGTGCAACTCTGTACTTTCGTATGATTTTTAATTAAATCTTTTATTCTCATGTTTTTGGTAAACCCTGTTAAAAATTGATCGGTCCAAAAACTCTAACTTCCTGTTCAGTACAGAGTGATAACCAGAAAAGTCTGTAATAGAAAGACGACTTTAACACTCAATTCACTAATTTAAATTGTCCAATGATCATCAGACAGAACAATTGTGCAGTGCAAACAGACCCATTTCACTCAATAAGTTAATTTTAAAGCTACTGCTAAAACATTTGCTGAAATATATAATTATTACTTGAATGTCGTCTTATTCCAGAGTTTTCTGGTTCCTTGCAATCTAATGTTAATATTTTAAACTATAATTTCTATTAGATCTATACTGGTAAAATTTTGAAATATCTCAGCAGTACAGTCAATCACGCATAGTTGTAAAAACAAAGTAATTAGAAGAACAGGAAAATAATCTGAGCTGGGAAGCTGTTTTGTGGATATCGAGATAAATGCGTGATCTCGATCTATTCTGCAAATTAGTTAAATCTTTATTCGATATCCCGCACGGTAATCGTACCCTAATGAATAATTGAAATGAAGAGATTAAGCTTTGATCCTCAATGAAACCCTCTCTACACTTTGTCTAGTCACTAGTGTTTTCATAAGAAAATATATCAACTCTCTTCTCTGCAGTGCTTAGGATCTGGATCCGGATCCGTTGGATCCGCAAGATTTTGGCTTACTGGATCCGGATCCGCAAAAATATGCAGATCCACGGATCCGGATCCAAGGGGTAAAATATTAGCTAAAAACTACTAGAAAAACTTTTTTACTCTTAGCTAAAACCCAAATCTGAAATTTTGAAAAAAGAGAGATTATAAAATTACTCATTTCTGAATGGTTCATCAAGTTTTAGGATAAAAATAAGCGAAAAAATTTTTTTAAAAATTTGAAAATTATTTTTTGATAAAAATTTCCTTAAATGACCTGGATCCTGATCCATTTTTATCCAGTGCGGATCCAGAATCCGGATCCGCATCAAAATTAAATGGATCCTAAGCACTGCTTCTCTGTGTCTAGTGTTTATATAACACTATATATCCCTCTCTACCCTGAGTCTAATGTCTATATAAGTCTATATCCCTCTCTTCCCTGTGTCTAGTGTATCCCTCTCTACCCTGTGTCTAGTGTCTATATAAGACTATGTACCCCTCTCTACTCAGTGTCTAGTGTCTATATTAGACTATCTATCCCTCTCTACTCTGTGTCTAGTGTCTATATAAGACTAACTTTCCCTCTCTACTCTGTGTCTAGTGTCTATATAAGACTATGTATTCCTCTCTTCTCTGTTTCTAGTGTCTATATAAGACTATATATTCCTCTCTACTCTGTGTCTAGTGTCTATATAAGACTATCTATTCCTCTCTACTCTATGTCTAGTGTCTATATAAGACTATCTATCCCTCTCTACACTATTGTCTATACCTCTCTTCTCTGTGTCTAGTGTCTATATAAGACTATCTATCCCTCTCTACTCTGTGTCTAGTGTCTAAATAAGACTATCTATCCCTTTCTACTCTGTGTCTAGTGTCTATATAAGACTATCTATTCCTCTCTACTCTGTGTCTAGTGTCTATATAAGACTATCTATCCCTCTCTACTCTGTGTCTAGTGTCTATATAAGACTATCTATCCCTCTCTACTCTGTGTCTAGTGTCTATATAAGACTATCTATTCCTCTCTACTCTGTGTCTAGTGTCTATATAAGACTATCTATTCCTCTCTTCTCTGTGTCTAGTGTCTATATAAGACTATCTATCCCTCTCTACACTATTGTCTATCCCTCTCTTCTCTCCTTTCTTTGATTTGCATAATTAGAATGAGTCAAACTTATACACGGGAACTTTGCACTGTGTATTATAACTAGGGATGTTCAATATATTCAACTTCATATCATTTCTTCCAATTTTTTTCTTATTTCCAATTACTGTTATCTATATATTTTGCTTACCTGTATGATTGTTTGTTTGATTGTTTGTTTGTATCCAATAAACGTCAAAATGTCCGAACTGACCCGGCCTAAATTTTTTTGTGGGACCTCACATGACTCCAGGGAAGGTTTATGAATGATCAAAATTTTAAAATTAGCCTCCCAACAAAATTTTATTTTCATTAAATTTTGAAATTTCTTTTTTATAAAATCCGCGACAACTTTTTGTTTTTACGTATATAAAGAGAAAAAATTCACAATTGTAATAGAAGATGCATTAGAAGCCTAGTTGGTGTACACTTTGCATTCACTTAACAAACTATGAACGAATCTCAAATACACTAATATGTAAGAACCAAACTAAAATGATGTCGAATAGTAATTTCTCGCCAAAAAAAAAGAATTGTTTAAGAGATTTTCTAGGAATGGATATTCAAATTTTTTAAATGAAAAAAGTGTGCCGTTGTAATTTAATGTGACCTTTCATCACCCAGAGGGGATCCCCCAATTCTAAACATCAGCTTGTAAATGTCTGATTAATATCTTATCATCATTTTTACAACTTGAAAAGTGTTTAATTCTGAAAACGTAATGTAGTTCATTGTTTCTGAAGCAGAAGATAAATTATAATGAAATTTATGCATTCATGATCAGAGAACTTGGTGCCGTTGTAAATTGGACATGCAGCTCTCAATATTTTGAGAGAGTCACCACGTTTACTGCGTACAAAGATTACATAATCCTGATACACATCGTACATACATTGAGATCAACAAAACTGTGGAGTATGAAGACGACGTTTAATCTGTCTTGTTTTTTATGTTGTTATAAAGAACATAATTTTGTTAAGTGAAATGGATCTGTGTACACTGAACTATTCCTGTCGGTCCCGATCATTGCTAAAACGACCAAGCTTATATTTGCTTGATTCACTCCTAAAAGAGATATCATTAGCCATCTGATGATGTTGTATGTATTGCAACGAAATATATTAGGGCGAAAATGACAGTTTTTAAAACTTAAGAGTGCTAAGTTGGGTTGGAGAGTATAATCATGAAATCAGCGATCATTGGATTATTTAAAATTGTAACTTTAGTCTAATTGTCGTCTTCCAATTCCACAGTTTTATAGATCCCACTGTATACTTACGATGCTATGTTTTATTTTTGGGCTTTTCACTTAAAGATTACCATAAACAATAAACAACTAGGCAGTAGGCAGTCTTTAAACATTTAATACCTATAGCCGCAACTTTTTCAAAAAGCGGTTGTTTTAGTATAAATTTTTACATTAATTATATTTTGAACATCCCTAGTTCACAAGTTGTATCCTTAGGGTGGGGGTAGGGTTCACAGGGATAGGGGGGAATCCATACCATATCCCCCGGGTGGGGGGATTAGATACTATCAGGGGGGAGGGGGGAACTTTAATTAATGTGATGCGAGTTCAAAAGCTTAGTTTCTAGTAAAGATATATGAAAGGGAAGGGGATATAAAGGGTGTCTCAATAAATATGGCAAATGAATGACGATATTAAATCACGCTGGATCTTTGAGAGATATTACAGAATTATGTAACGTATATTACTTCTAAGCTTTCTTAAATGAGATTTGTTAACTGTTAAGATTGGGAGATATTAAAGGGACTGACAGCGTAGTCTCAAGTGAACCTCCCTCCATGCCAGGATGCCAATACCCGATTTACAGCGGTAACCCATGAAACTACATGTGAAAGATAAAGTCGTTTTAAAATGACTGTAGTCTTTATTTCTGATAATTTCTCCATTTTTCTCATGATAAAAAAATGCGCAAGTCACTGCAGAGAGCATTGCTATCTAATTCATACCTGAGCTGACAAAGCTTTTCCACTGTAAGTGAAAATCGAGCATTGTCATCTTTGCATAAAGACTCTCTTGAAATTATTCCCAACTTAAGATATTTTTTATTAACTCAACCATTTACAAAATTCATAGTATACAGATACTGTAATAAATGTTGACATAGTATACAGATACTGTAATAAATGTTGACATAGTATACAGATACTGTAATAACTTTTGACATAGTATACTGATACTGTAATGAATTTTGACATAGTATACAGATACTGTAATACATGTTGACATAGTATACAGATACTGTAATAAATATCGACATATTATACAGATACTGTAATAATTGTTGACATAGTATGCAGATACTGTAATAAATGTTGACATAGTATACAGATACTGTAATAAATTTTGGAGGTACAACAAAGACAGATATTACTGAAAAATGGAAAGATTGTGTCCAACAACTGACGTCAGTAATATTCACAAGTAAATACCACTAAGATCAACAACGATTAATTGCCATGTTTATTGGAACACCCTGTATAAAACCATCTTGAGATGAAGAGCTAAAGAGAAGAAGCATGTTTATTGGAACACCCTGTATAAAACCATCTTGAGATGAAGAGCTAAAGAGAAGAAGGGGGATTATACTTTTAATTAGTCTACTAGTACTTAGACAAGTCTTGGTTCTACCATACTTCGTGTGTATGCGAAGAGGAGGGGGATGGGGGGGGGGGTTAATTAATTACATAATATAAGAAAAAATTATTAATTAATGTTTTAGTTCTGGAACTGTAAATCAAGGAAGATTGACCAGAGCTTCGATATATTTATTTACAAAAAAAGTGCACTACTTATTTAGGAAGGAATATAAAAAACTCAGTGTTCATTAAAGGGAGTGTTTGCGAAAAATTAAAGTGGGTATAGGCTTTATCTAATTAAATTTGTATCGATTGCTACTAATTTTAATCTTATCTGTCGGGTATATAAGGAGAAATGGTTAAAAACGTCTTTTGTTTCACTTGGTAGAGCTAGAATTCCATTCGATATCAGTCTATACCCCCTTTCATTTTTCGCGAACACTCTCTTTAAGCTGAGTTCTGTTTACTTCCCTCACAAAAAATATTTGTGTTCCTGAATCATCAACAATATAAACCTGCACAAGGGACGGAGGGTGATGCCACCATGAACCCCTCAATATTTATTTAGCCGCACAACTTAGACCCACGCATTATATACTCTCAGATAAAATCAAGGTTGTAATGCAAGGAAAGTTATTTCAGAGGTGTACGCATCTTTTGTTCTGCAGTGTACTGTCGCTGGGCGGTAATGTAAACACAAGACGGATGTTGAAACCTGACATGGGATCCATCTTTCCCATAAAAAATCAATGAAATATTCTGGTCATAGGAAACTATTACGTGAATTATCAAAATTATCAAAATTAAATGCTTTTAACCTCCTCGAATACTAAACGAACACTGATGCAGGTATTCTTGTTTACAAACTGGTTTCCATATGTACGCAAAGTACACGCAACTGCAATTAACTTTCCTTGCATTACAACCTTGGATAACATGCTCTTCTTATGAATTATCTCTACGATGTGTAAAATAAGTATTTAAAAGTAATCAATTATACACTGAATTAAGCATAAAATAAATCTGATACTCTTTCCATTATTTTGCTTTGGGAAAATACAAATATTTGTTATTCTTCAAAATTAATTTTGCAAATATCTCATTATCAGTATACACGTCTTTCCACTTTTAGAAATCCTTTCCCGTTTAAGCTGACAATGCTATAATACTAAATAAAAGCACGGAAAAGTAGACGGCATCGATTTTGTCAAGATTTTTTTCAAATTCCGGTTTTGTTGCTTTAAAGGGTCAAGGCTCCACAAAAATTAAACCTGAACTGTTCATCATAATACAATATTGTATCCATGTATATGAAGTTGTAATCTCTGTTTGTTTGTTTGTCCGTACATAACTCGGGAATCCTTTGACCAATTTGTCTTAAATTTTGATTGGGGAACTTGGGAGAACCACAGGGATGTTCTTAGCTTGGTTTTGAGATTCTAAGTTGAGAGGGTTGAATTTAATAGCGAAAATTTTATTTTTTAACGCTGTGAGTTGAATATTGCAACTTTCTGAATTTGTATGGACACTACGTTCTTC